TGATATGTCGCGCTTTTAACTAAAAAACTGCATTTTTCTAGTCAAGTTTTATCTATCTCCTAATTTTCTAATAATTTAAGTATAGTTTGTTTTTATGTTTGTATCAATTATTCTTGATGGACATTTCAAATCCGGAATTCTATAGGATAAGTCTACGAAAGATAAATGTAATTCCAAGGCAATAAGACGACTTGATATTACGAGTATTAAAGAGATAAATAATCAAAGCTAATAGATTTATTAATTTTTTTTAACTTGTTATTGTTAAATCCACTGAAATAATTTTACAAAAATGAAAATAGAAATTGCTTGCATATTAAAAAAAATTCTACAAAAACAGTATGCAGCAATTTAAATTAATCAAGAATTAGCATCAAATCGTTATCTTGATGGATTTTTAAAAAGATTAAAATCAAGGCATCTCAAAACACCATTGCATCTCAAAAAATAAGAATGAATGTTTTTTACACCTTTTCATCCAATTAATCATAAAATTACAAATTACTTTCTTATCCTTGTTGAAATTTGTAATAATCAACTGAAACATTTTTTTTTTTAAATAAAGACCAAATGTTGGTCCAGTTTTTAGATAAAAAATATAAATCAAAGATTGAATAGAAAAAACACGAATTTAACATCTGAGTGTAATTTTAAAGAGCTTTTTGAATCCATTTTGGCATAAAAATAAGTGTTAGTAACGTCTGTTTTTTTTAATGGAAATGTCAAAGAGTCATTCATGGTAATTTTAATAAAGTTGGCAGTTCCGGTTTTTAAATTAATTTGAAAACAATGTCATTATTAAACGTCAACAGAAAAATCGTCTAAAAAATCTAGAGACGGAAACACAAAAACGAGGACAAATTCGGTGTAATTAATAGTTTTTTGAAATTTGTAAACGAAAAGAGAATGAAAAGTGAACGAAATTACACAACATTTATTGTCAATCTGCGTAATCCCTGTTTGTATCTTTTGCAAATAAACTTTTTTTCTCTATGGACACCGTTTTTTATACAAGTTTTTGTAGCAAGAAACTCATTTTTGCCCACAACATGATAATTTTTTAACAAAATTTCTAGGGACAAAAACAAAAAGAAAAAAAAATTGTGGCTATGGAAATAAGCTGCTACCAATATTTTCACCAAAATTTTGACTAGGTGATTTTCATGAAAAAAACAGAGTTTAAGTAGTACTTAAAAGTACTTAGATTTTTTTATCAGTTGATTATAATCTAAATCACTTATCAAAAAATATAGTTTTTTATAAAACCTTAAATCCGACAACATCGGAAACAAAAGAGTTATTATGCTTAACTGAAAGTCCTTTATTTTTAAATTACCCTGTATAAAATAAGAAAAAATTTTCAAAACAAGTCGAAAATTTTTCAGAATCAACTGTATTTGGAAATTACTACAATATCTCGAATCTCGAATTGGAAATGATTTCCAAAAAAATTTTTGCATTTCATTGTGTGACAAAGAAATTAAAGTACACTTTGTTTGCAAGTTATCAGTTGATTTTAGAAAAAAATATGTATGACACAGCTAGTCCATTATACCGACAGAAAAGTCCAAAAGATAATTGTTTAGATTAAATCTGTATTTCAATATAAAAGTGCACCTTTGTGACGATGACGATGTGTTTTTCGTCATTATGATTCGTCGACTTTTCCGCATAATAAAATTTTTTGAAATCTCATCTCGTTTCGAAGAAATGATCAAAAACGTGCCTAATTGTTTAATTAAAAAAAGTAACTGAAACATAATACATTCATAAATGGAAGAAACGATAATATCCAAAGAATTTACAAAAATGCAACCAGTTTGTGACACAGACTGGACTATCAGACATTTTCTTTATTTATTTTTGCATTGTATATACTATTACAGTTATCTCATGTATTCAAATAAAGTGAATCTGTTTCCAAAGCCCCCAAGGTCACGATTAATAATTCCACTCTTCTCGTATTATTCACAAACGATCCGCTTCTTGATTGTAATTAATATTTTTTTATATTAAAATAGCCTAGCAACCGGTCATGAATTTGAGAAAATGATGCAAATCTGCAAGAATTTCACTTTGTGAAATTACCATATTTCGTAGCTGTCTAGACTTTGCTAACCAGTTTTCGAATCGATTCCGGGAATCGATTGATTTTCGTTCGAGGATCGATTTGTCGCCATATTGTCATTAGCGAAGTGTAAATGTCTGCATAATGTACATACCTGTTTTGCGTGGGCATTCACGACGTTTGTGACATTATCGAAAGGTTGATGGCTTGCTGAAGCTGAAGACATGCAAGTCGCGGACGCTTTTGTTAACAAAGCGTGTTGGAAGTTTTAATTCATCGGCAAATATTATATCGTAGGCTTTACCGCTTTGACGGGAAGTCGGGGAATTAACCCACACGTGGACAGTGAGATAAGGATTGCATTGTGTAATCAACAATGGACATTTGAGAACATTTCTTCCATTTCGGGCAAACTTTTACATTTTAAAAAAAAATCCACTTTTGTTTTTAGATTTACAACAAAAAAACATGAAGGATAGAGAAAAAAATTAACATTTTGGAAAAAATTACATTTCTAGTACAAAAATATAATAAATAAAAAAGTTTAAAATGTCAATTGATACAAAATAAAAGCAGAATAAATGTTCACATTTTAAACTAACAGTAAGTGAGAAAACTCAAAAAATAGCTATGTATTTTCAGAAAAGATACAGAAGTGAAATTTAGAAAAAAAAACAAAGACATACAATTCAATAAAAATTTGCCAGTACATACAGGATGTCTCAAAAACATGGAAAAAGTTCTGTTAAAAAGTTTTTACATTTATTTTTCGACATTTGGCATTTTTTATGTCTGTTTAATGTCACCGATGATCTTGTATATGTTTCTTCATAATTATTCAGTACAGGTACAAAAACTTTGGCACTAAAAGCTACAAATAACGTTAAACATAATTACAATTTATGATACAACTTCCTTACTGAGGCAAAAAAACATGTAGTTATTTTTCCAACAGAAATAAATAGAATCAAAGTGCATAATTTAAACACTTATAATTTGACAATTTTTATAGACAAATTTTTTTTACAATTTTTTGATGTCCCTAGTTGGCATTTTTTTTGGAGCACGAGGTATGAAACACCTGAATATTAAAACAAAAAACTAAAATTTAGTTTAGTTTTCTAAGGTTTTCTTGAAAGAACGAACTTCTTGTTATAATGGTGGGAAGTTAGGAATCATAAATAATACTTAAATAAAAAAAAAACTCATTATTTGTAATTTGCAACGCTGATTAAGAAAACAAAACAAAAAGTATGCAAAACAAAGTCTAAATAGAGATTTACCAATTGAAAATGAAGTAAATGCAATAAGGGGATCAGGGGTGAAACTTTGGTAGAAATGTTAAAAAATTAAAAGGTTAAATAAATTTTTACGTCACCCCAACAAAATTATTTTTAACCAAACAAATCCTAATCCTAAATAAATTTTAATAAAATCAATAATCAAACTATAGGGTCTTGTAAAAAATAATTAAAAAAAGAAGTTGTGATCAATTATAGAAATAAAAAAACAAAAAAACTGTACCTAGGTAGGTACATGAAATTTTTATATAAAACTTTGTCATTTATTTTTTGACATTTGACATTTTTTATGTGTATTTAATGATGCTGATGATCTTGTATATGTTTTTTTTATAATTATTTACTAAAAGTACAAAAATT